AGGCTTACGTCTGTTTCCGGTTATTTTTATTTTGAAATTCAGTTCCTGACGGACGCCAAAAAAGCCAGAGATTATGGAATTAAACAAATAAATAAAACCAAGGATAATTGTGTGCTATTGGTGAGTAAATAACAGTGCGTTATTTAGAAAAGAATAACAAATTAGAAGGAATTATTACATGGCCACATTCTCAACAAAGTAACGTTATGACTCCCAATATTAATTGAAATGCTTTTATGGATTTAGAAAATTATTTTATTGATTTAAAAAATAGTTGTATGTATTGATTTAAATTGACATGCATCCGCTAAGAAAAATAGTCCGTTGTTACCGTTTGAACTAACGTAGCAACGGCAGGAACTGCTTCGATAGCGTTTTTGAGGAGCTTTTTGATTACAGATTTGAAAACATCGCTCCTTGCTTTAAAAGTAGCACAATTCATTATGTCAAACCTTGGAAAGTATCTGGATATCCCTGCCCTAATGCCAAAGTAACTGGCAACTGAATATGTGTCGCCGTTTGATGTCTATGTCTGGACCGTTGCGTAAAAAGGAGGATTTCTGCCCGTTACTTCTCCGCTGTTTTCTTGTCGCTCTTGTCTTGTCAGTTAGAAAAGCAAACTGCATGCAGTTTGCTTTTCGGCCAAACTGTATACAGTTAAATCGAACGGACTTCTTTCTGCAGATGTGAGCGTCCTTAACAACGGTCAATAAGTACTTGACAGCGGTCTGTCTGTTCGGTATTAACAACGTGTCACGTGTTCTGAATTGACCAATCAGAATCGAGTATTCAACTAAGCCATGTAATAAAGTTTGTTAACATGCAGGGATTGCAAAGTTCTTTCGAAAACAGGAAAGTCTGCAAGACAAAATAATGATGACATTTTTTCATATTTATTTTAGTCTCACTTTATTGTATGACTTTGCGTCTGCAGCTGTGTTTCCCAGTGGGAGTGAGACAGCAGAAAATTCCCCCTTAAAAAAGACCGGGAAAACACCCACAGTTGAAATAATACAGACACATGTCTGCCAAAGTATGACAACAGTGATGTCATCCGGACATTATCACCTTCTAATGAGTCTCCTTTGCTCTTTAGAAAGTGATGAAGTATGACTATACTCAATGACATATTGTGTGTCATTGCCCACTTCAATTATGTTGTTTGGGGTCTTTATTATTTTAAATGCTGTTATCTCATGTAACAGTGTGTTAGCAAGTATAGCTTTGAAAGTTTGGAAGCTAAAAAGAGACAAACAAAACTATATTAATTACTATATTTCAGTTGTGTATTTTTCCCTTACTTATTTTAAGACTCATATTTGTTTTTGTTTATGTCCCTACCTATTTTAATATTTTCTAATTTCCCATTCATTTATTTAATTATCTTTATTTTATCTTATTTGTGTGTTTACAAGGATGTTTGACTACTCATTAAGCATCTAATTTCCTTTAATCCAGCTGGACAATTCATGCTTTCCTAATGGCTTTATGAATGGCCAATGCACCTGGGCTTCTCACTCAACATCTATAAAAGGCTCACAGTGAGGTCAGCCATACGATATTACACAGTGAGGCTAAGTGCAGCATGACAAATCATCTTTTATCAGCAGTGCATACTGCCTCAGGTCAACGGTATTTTCTTGGAAATTCTCAGAGTCAGGTTCTCTTTCATTCAATAAACCTTTCAATGACGACCACAGGTCTTTTCCATGATGTTTACTCTGACTTTACATTGGCTTTTAATGACCCTTTTAGTACAAATGTCTACAGCAGAATTGACCTATGAGGATGATAGTCAAACACATGAAAGCAAATCTGATAAAACCTGGCACGCTTGGTCAAAATACATTTCGTGGCATTATGAAAAAGTCCAGTCAACTCCTGAACAACAACAAAAAGCCGGCGTTTTATCCAGTTTGTAAACAACGATTGAGAAACTTAACAAGCAGCAGTGGTCCACTGAAGAGACCAGCTACCTACTGGGAATCTGGTCTTCCGAAAAAGGTACAGAGGAAGCTGGAGCGCAATCGGCCATTGTTGTTGTTGTCGGTGTCAGCTGTGAGGGGTTTCCGCGCGGTTTGGCTTTATGAAGCAGGCACGCAAACGGATACGTCATGACGCAAATGATGACGCAATGACGCAGCACCAGTCGGACTCTGGGCAGTGTGAAAAGAGCCGGAGCTAAACCGAAGAACCGGTTCTGAACCTGAAAAGCTCTAGCACAGAGCTTGAACCGGAGTTGCGTTGGTGTGAACACGAAAACCCGGTGCTTTTCAAGCTCCAGCTCCGAACCGGCCCTGAAACACCATTGGTGTGAATGAGGTAATAGTAATCATAATTTATTAATTCAATCGTACAACTTGAAATGTCTAGTGATGAAGGCTTGAATTCCATACATCATAAAATTTCAAAAACTGATTAAAAAAAACTGAGCGACCAAGTGATTAATGTATAGCATTGTGTTGTTACTTGTCAGCAAGAAGGTTTTAGATTTACTAATTCATGTGTAAATAAGGGCTTAAAGGACCAATGGTGATTTAGTAGTGCACTCCCTATAAAGCAAAGCGTTGGTCTTGTCATACGTTTTCTTTTTAGTTTTGCTTCCCAACATGGAAAACGGTGTTGCATAAAGCTTTGGGCTTGATTTGGGTTTAGTTTTTATCTCATTTCAAATGTGATATTTTTAAACGGCAACTTCTGCAAATGTAAAAAGTTGAATAATACATTTTGGACCTGCTGAAGGAACTTTGTAAAATCTGATAAATTGCCTAAAGTGATTGGACACAAGGAGGTGTCAGAAATTGGGTAAAAATTGGGGTTGAAAACTACAGTTTTTTTAAAGTGAAAAAAAATCTTGAGTCAATAAGAAGAGATCTTACTTGACGTTCTTCCCAAGCTCCTTGGCCTATAGTCGCTCAAAGTTATATTAGCCGCTACTAGCATAACAGACCAGAATATCCAACCAAAAGTGTGGTGGTGGATTCCCATTGCTTGCAGTTCGATTAATGTAAGCCCAAGCATGAACAGAGCCACTCATAATACTAAGCCTTAAGGACAAGCCAGTGGGCATGTTGAGGAATTTTCTATCTAGGACAGCAAAGACGCAAATAGAAATGTCTACCTGTTGACTTGGTATTCCAGACATTGTTATTTGAGAAAATGGCTTTAGATTACTCAATCTAGTATTTTCTCAGAATTGACAAAGCTCCCATACAGCCCCAGAAGACACTACACAAATGTTTGCATAGGCTTAAACAGGCTCTCCGTGACTTCAACATGTAAAATAGGTGGGGTGCCCCTTTAAAATACTTGAACACACAACATTTTCTTTTTTTTACCATATTGTTATTTCACAATTTGGATGCAAGAATTGAAAACAAAAACATGGTTGTATTATTTGGGAAGAATACCAAATTGAGTGATATCCCAAGATACTTCTCGGGCCTCAAGGGTTATGTGCAATGCATGGCCAGCCACAGCGAGAAAAGCTATCGCAGTGCAATCACAAGCTACACAGTCAGGCTCCATCACTACCTGCTGATATTCTCATCATCCCCCCCCCCCACCTGCACACGAACCCCCACCAAGTCAGCATGTGTGCATGTGTGTCTTAATGCATGTTGTGGTGTTGAGTGTTAAAACGTGAGATTATTTTTCTGATGTCGTTGCTCATCTATATCAGGATGTGTACAGAATACGCACACTTCTGCATGTGTGTATATGCCAGTGTAATAATACGTGTGTGTGTGTGTGTGGTTGGTTATGCAGTGTGTCGAGGGAGCTCTTGGCCCCTCGTTTAAGGGTCGAAAAGATTGTGATCAGCCCCAGACTCCATTAACAGAGCCAGGGACGACGGGAGGGGTTTTCTTGTGCGGCCGAGTGGAAAATTGAGTCCATGTCACAAACTAATCAAATCGCGCCAAAGGTGAAAGGTAGATGAAAGGAACACACACACACACACACACACACACACACACACACACACACACACACACACACACACACACACACACACACACACACACACACAAACAGAATGAGGTTGACAAGTATCCAGGCCATCTCACAAAGTCGCTGACACACACGGAAGAAGTGGACTGAGCAGATGGCTGCGGAACAAAAAGTCTGCAAGGGTCTCTGTGGCAGACTTGCATTAGCATGGAACCCTGTGGGGAAATGAAAACTTGTTTGTAAAGTAAGTTTGAGGGACCGTTTTGACTGTTGCACCCGTTGTGGTAGAACCAGGAAGACTTTGTTCAAATATTTGGTTGACTGGAAGCATGTCGCTGATGATGGCGGTGTGGGATTTTTCTTCCAGCAAGTTAAACACGCAGTGGTGACATGCTATACGATGATGTTCACCTCTTCGTGGAGTTATTGCTTTTATATCCCAGGCTTTGATAATAAGAAGGTGGAGGGCTGGTGTGGGTGCGTGGGGGGTCTGTGAATGTAAAAGGGGCTCCCCATTCGCCACTTGTTTCTCCAACTTTACACCAGTGCATTGTGGTACGTAGAGTTCATGTAGGGTCAGTGTTGCACATTGGGAGTAGCCCTAACAACCCTGTCCAGGTGTCCGCTGGTGCCAAGTGCCCCGTGTCCTCCACCCCTCCTCCCACCCGTGTCTTTAAGCGCTAGGAGGTGGAGGTTTTGGTTTTGGATTTAGGGTCCTTCTTGCCGTTCTGGAGCACTGGCGAGTCACTGGAGGTCTTCTGCGTTTTCCTGGGCGGACTCTGCTCCACAACGTCGTGTAGAGAGGGCTCCCGGTACATGGCCACTGTGGAGGGAGAGGGTTGAATTAGTTAAAACTGGGAAGAGACAAGTGAAAGTATAAATGAAAGACTTAACTTTGTGTTTTGGTGTATAATATTTTTGTAGGTGGACCCGGAACTCAAGAGCTCCCTCAACAAAAAGCAATGTCATTTTTCCATTTGACTTCGGAATAAACAAACGTTTATGATACTTGCATGTTTTCTTCGGCAGGATAATCTCCACATATAACAGCACTATATGATTTTGTGGCACACATGGAATTGCCAGAAGTGAAAAACTATTGTTAGGCTATAAATGAACCACATCCTGGTCAAATGACACCACTGCAAAGATAAAGGCGGCTAATGTTTAGTAGATTTAAGTAGTCGCTTGTTTGCATCCGCCATTTCACAACACATAGAAGCTTCAGGCATTCAAGGTAGGGGTGATAACTGATGCGTTTTTACATTCGACCTTGAGGTTATGAAAGGCGCTATATAAATTCAAGTTATTATTATTATTATTATTTTATGTCATGGAACAAAATGTAAAAAAAAACGACAAACCTTAATTCAGGTATCTAACATCAAACCCATTCTAAAAAAAAAGACTTTGATAAAAGGAAACCGGAAGTCGTCAAATGCTATTTCATCTTCAGTTGTACATAGTTGTTTGACACTTTTAACATGACCTTATATATAAAAAGGTCATGCTTCATCTAGATACAGAGGGAGTGGGGGGAAATAGTAAAGGGCAGAGAATTAATTTCCAAACTTTTATTTTGAAATATCAATTTAATATATTTAAATGAGCAATCGATCAAATAACTTTGCATAAAGTGGCAGTCATTCTTTGGTACTTGATGTGACTTGTCTTTTACAATTATTTTAGCTAAATGTAACAATTCCCCTGAGTATATTAGATGGTAATTCAGATCACCTATTGCACAGGTGGTGGAGACTGGCTCCTAATCAAGAATTGAGAGCAGCTTGGTGCATTTCCCTTGTGGTGGAAATTCCACACATGACAAATATTCAAGCTTAAACCAAAGTTGGGTTATTTAATAAAGAGTTATAGCATTTAACAGAATCAATATTATTTCCAGTTGGAATTGCCAGAGGTCCAGCACTAGTAGATAGCACCAGGATCTGACCCCATTACAACAGAAAAACAAGCACTTTATACAGGAAAAAGACAAAAGAGGGGAGCTCAGCTAGGGAATTTACACTACAGGCCATTGAAATGTTGGCCAGACGGGCGAAACTTGCAGATAATTCACCCAGAAACTCTGCTCTTCAGGCCCTTTAGAGACTTTGCTGCTGTTTGAACTTTTCGGATTAAGGCTGATTTTGAGCATTCTGAAACATAGCTGGGGTGAAAAACAGCTTTTCACTACCTCGAAGTGGAAGGTTTTTAGAAACCCCCTTCATTGGCATCCCCTTACTTTTCAATTTCTTTTAATTTTGAATCCACTAGTCAGCCTTGCTTCTCCAAATTTGCCAAAATTCATTTTGTTTGACCAGTCCACCTCTAGTGGCAACATGAGAGCATTAAGAGCATTGTAAGTTATATGAATCTGTTGTACCTTCAATGAGTTTAGGCAGGAAGTGCGCAGCCCCCTTTGTCTTCTTGACACGGTTCCCTTTCATGACCTGTCCATCTCGGTTGATGCCGATGTACCACGCCCGTCCTGACTGGGTCTGTCTGTACAGGATGGATGAGTAGGTGACGTAGTAGTTCTCAAACACACTCTCCTTAAACTTACACTCCGGCGTGAACTTTTCCTGAAAGACACACACAGAAAACAAAAGCTTCAGGTCAGAGAAAAAAAAAAACATCTGGCATTTTTTATCGCTTCTATTATTTATATATTTACTCTGCAATTCCACTGAACTCAGCTGGGAATGAGGGGAAAGGGGCCCCACATTTCATCGTGACAGGGTTACAGGAGAGTCTGTGGTTGCATCAACAACACACACACACACACACACACACACACACACACACACACACACACACACACACACACACACACACACACACACACACACCTATTTGCCACATGACCAGGGCGGTGTGTGAGCCGGGATGCCATAACTCAGCCGATTCGGTTTACCTGTAACAAACAATCAAGGGATCCTTCCCCCCCCCTCTGTAGCAAACTGTCGGCCTTCAGCGCACACACACACGAAGCTCTGCATTAGACTATACGTCAACACCGGGACATCCCCCACCCTCATCCCTCTATCTCCCTCTCGTTACAGCGCTCACATATTCCCCCTCTATCTCATATTCTGCACTTCATTCCCCCCATCCTTTCATCATTTGGTAACCTTGTTGAAGGAACAAACCAATTTGCAGGATTGATTTGGAGCCTTGATGTGACGGGTGAGCAGAAAAGGCCTGAATAAGGACTTTGCTCTCTCTCTCTCTCTCACACTCATTCATCCCTCACTCCTGCTCTCTCTCTGTACTCGTCGGCCACTGCAGGGCCCTAACGTCTGCCTATATCCATTGTACTGCACATAAACAAGCTAATTACATTGACTGTATCGCCCATTTCATAATTACACATCCATTCACTTAGGCGGCCATTCCTTTCTTCAGCCACCCATTAACTGAGCTCTAATAGCACGGAGCCAAATCCAAAGGTCTGGAGCCTCTTGGAAGGTGTAATAAGATCGCTGTTATTAACCGTGTTTGCACTGCAGTGTGTTGCATCTCATCTTCTTTTGGTAACACCTGATCACCAGCACACACACAACCAAAAACAGGCTCAAGCTCATTATTTGATTATGAGTTATAGGGAATTTTCCAGGTATGGTCTAAATGAGGCCTGTATCATTACCAATCCATGACCAAGCTACTGCAAAAGAGGTGTTTTCGATTATCCAACAGAGGAAATATAGAGGCTGGATTTTCCAACCCCAGAGAAACGCTGACTTTGTGATTACAGATAAAACTTTAGGAGGCCATTTATGATGTTTCCTGTGAGAATAATCCATATATCGTGACATTTTGCATCCATTTACAGCCTACGTGCTGTAGATACCTAAGGAGCCCACATATAACTGAAGTAGAATGTTGAGATACTTTACTTAAAGATGTTTGTTTGATGCTTGTTATACTGTTTTTCGTAAATATTGGAGGACAAAATTAACCACATTTTCCAGCTCACATTAAAAGGACCACTTGTAGTGTTTTTGCAGTGTCACTTTACATGAACCTACATAATGATAGTTATCTGTTAGCGATACAATTCATTCTAATATCCTCTTTAGACTCTATACTGTCTACTATTATGTCTACTATTGTAGAGGTATGCCCTCCAGTCAGTAAACATCATAGGCTGAGCAGCAAAAATGGGCAAGAATCTGTTCTGTTTTCAGTGAATCATACATTTTAGATTCCCCCTTGAAAAATAAACCTTTACTATTTAATAGATTTTTAACTCAGTGTTATGCTTAGCATGGCGCTACACCGGCAGAGTCCCCCTGCAGGGAAACACAAAGACTTCCTGGCTCACACGCTTGATTGCATGAGAAAACGTTTTTGTCAGAAGAATGATCCAACTATTTCATTTTTATTTCAATACATGAAACACCTTTTTCTCTTCGTGAAGTTTCCATCAGTCCACTTTTGTCCCGGCCAGACTCCAACCACTTGTACTTAGTCACACACATTCAGGGTGCTATCAGCGATGATGCTTTATAGGATAACACACTATTAAACAGTCATTTACAGAGACACATTATTCACCAAGCAGAGACACAGGGGACATATGCACATCTGTCTGCAGAGTGTTTACTCTGACTGCACTTCAGGCTGATTTTACATTGTGATTTACTCTCTAAAACAAAGTGAGAAAAAAACTTCCTTACACACTGGAATGAAGATAATTCAGAATGACCGACAACTGTTCTCGTCTCACACCCTCCAGGAGTGGGGGAATGACACGCAGCGGTGGAAAGGCGTAGAGCATGTAAATAGGATAGAATAGAGCCAAATGTACCGGACAGAGGCTCTAGACTCCCTTCCTCGCACCAACGTTGGAATCCAAAGCACTCCGTCCTGTAACAGGCAGTGGTGGATCCCACTTTTGCTGCCTGGATAGTCTGTATAACATTGTCAGACAGTCCACCCCTTCTCAGCCTGTCCCTCTCAGGAGCCAAGCCTGGAGAGGTTGGCCCAGATTGGGTAACGCTCGTATTGCACCCGTATTGCACCTGCTTCCTGAGACAGCCCCCCCCCAGAACTGAGGGACGGTCCAGGGCTGGCCCACCATCATCTGTGTCACTTCTGCGTACCACGGCGCCGAGCAGCGACCTGGGGCTACCAGAATGACCGACAACTGTTCTCGTCTCACCCTCTTTAGGAGTGGGGGAATGAGACGCAACGGTGGAAAGGTGTAGAGCAGCTTTCTTGGCCATGGGTTGTGTGCAAACGCGTCCACCCCCAAGGGTGGATTGTCCTGCCGAGCCAGGGGGGAGAACCCACCATTTCGTCTTGGCGGGGGCCCGCCTCTTGATATGGAGCCAGCCCTGCTCTCCGAGCTTCCCGAAATGTGGGAGGGCCTTTAGATTAAAAACATTCTCTGGAGCCCACAACCACAGGCTTCTCCGCTGCGCTCAAACAAGGCGTCTGAGCGCCGCGACTCCGCCCTGCCTGTTGATGGTAGCCCACTGTGGTGCTGTTATCGCTCCTCACCCATGCACCATGTTTTCCTTGTAGTTAAGGGTTTGAAGTGCTGTAGGACCAGTACTACTGCCTGTAGCCTGAGAGGTTGATGTGCCGGGCCTCTGGTCAGAGGCCAGCCACCACCTATAGCTGTCTCTAGGCAGGTCCCTTCCCCATCCTGTCACGGACGTTCCTTTTTTTCTGTGAACACCGTGACGTAGGAGGTCAGCCGCCGCCCAGTGGAGTTCCCTTCAGCAAATGCTTGGGGGACCCGCCAGTATCAGAGGTTACCTCCACTGATGGGGGATGGTCACCAGACATTTGTTTGCTGTCTCTTGGGATCTAAACGAAGGGCCGGCAAACCACCTCTGTTAGGCGACGCATGTGCAGGTAGCCCCATGCGGTAACCACGTGGTGAGCAGCCCATGGAGACCCAAGGGTTGCATGATGTCAGGGCTGACTTTCCCCCCCCTTCCCGTCACAGTCTGAAAACTCCTGAAGCAAGGTAGCGTCTGCTGTTCTCTGGAACGGAGTGGCACGTAGCCTGCCCTCTTTCTCGGATGGGCGTATCACTGAAGCGTGCGTGGGGACAGGGAGTCTAAACCCAAACAGTAGCGCTAGTTCTGTACCGTTAGGCTATCCCCGGAAGGCAAAACGCAAAAACTTCTGTGTTTTGGAGCAATTTTCGACTTGGAAAGTTAAGCTCTCTTCAGGTCGATGGTTATGAACCAAATCGGCCCGGCTGCACCAGCTTCCAGTAACTGTTTAACATGTGGAAGCTTTTTTGAGGAGGTATAGCTGCCTTACTATACTGTTAGGCCTGCGCCGCATTCAGTAGGCTCGCCTGATTGGCCGGGCTACGGTATGCAAATTCAGTGTTGTGAACGCTCGTGTATCATTGATGAAGAGTGGTATCCAGGGGTTAAATTGGGCCGGGTGGCTACGAGGAAAAGGAAAGTCGGCGCAGATGCAGAAAAGGTTCTGTCAGTATCACTTGACAATCAACATCTATATAAGTTGCACTTTGATGGATACGTCTGAAGATATTCGTAGACTATTTTCCAGTCTGTTCCGATAGTAGAGCACTCTCGAGTGAGCTTTATAAAGCATTTATCAACCATAGCAGGATTCGGTCTGTGATCTCAGGTTCTGCCTAGTCCCTATTCTGGCTCTATCTTGAGTGTAATGACGTGTCGCGCCTCTCGTGGGATAGCCGATCTGTGGCAGGCACCAGCCGGGCCGGGACCGTGCAGAGATCTGCATCGGTTCCGCCAACCGACCCGTCCTGTAACACGTAAACGTTCTTAAACCATGCAAAAGTGATGATGTCGTGCTGTGTCGCTAAAAGAACTGATGGCTTGACTAGTCCCTTCGTCGTCTCAAAACGACACTGGAGTTAACGTTAATGCCATAGAATTTGGCTGAATTGAGTCATCAGATTTATCGTATTAGGCTTCTTAATAACAGTGACTGTTAAAATATAAAAAAATCGCCTGCTTTTTGCTATTTTGGACGACTTAACACTCTCAAGAACTGAGAACGGAATCTCCAACAAACATACTCGTAATTAGCAAGATTGCTGGCCGCTGAGTCTGATTGTTAGATTCTATCGACAAGATAAGCGCAATGTGGATAGTGTTGCGCACGATACATATTAAACACTCGTTTTGTGTTGGATGAGCTAGCCAACACGGTAAAATTTACTTGAATATAATTTAAGATGTACATCAAGTGGTAATGTTCCTCCAGTGCATGTGATTTAACTACTTCCATGTAAGTACTCTCTTCCCATTTTGTCATGGTCTCGAGTTACCATTCTCGTGATCGATACAGTGGTGCATGGTATGATACAGATAATGGAGCAGTTGCTTTAGCCTTATACCTAGTATAGCCCTTAATGGTCAATAATGAGATCTTGAGAACCCCCTTGCACCTCCACACAAATCCCCCCCACATATCGAATCCCAATTTTAACCCCTGAGCTACCCTTAGAGTCCGGTAATAGAGGGCGGATGCCTGTGTGAGATAGAACTATTTTGTAATCATCTCAAAGATCAAATAAGTGCCTGCAGTTCCTCTTGTGTTCAGGCAGGGGATGCTCCAAA